GAAGCATATGATAAAAAATGAATTGCTTTTGAAAGGAAGATAGTTCCATAAGCTATCGATTGATAAAAAAGATTTTATTTTCCATCACTTTTTGATGCTTCGTTATCTTTTTATAATAAGTCTACGAATGGGCTTTGGGTGACCTCTTTGATTGGTAAAGGGTTAAGACAACGGTGTAAAAATGTCGGTAGCATCACTATATTATACATCAAATTCAAAAAAAGCTCTTAAATGAAAACAAAATCCATCTTGTTCTGATATTTTCTTTGTTTCTTCGTTTCGTTTATTTTCTTTTTCTTAGACTGGACGCGGTTAGCTTTTTTACTTACAGCTCATTCTTTATTGTGGAACGAGATTTTGAAAGTTGTATCGTTTGTAACTCTTGAATAGGTGAGCTGATTCCGTTTAGCTCTATTTTACAGCAGATAGAGCTCGAAAAGTTCTATAGGTGGATAAAAAATTCGACTTTCTACTTTGCTTCATTTTCGAGAAACTTTCTTTACCCGTCGAAATGTAGGACGAGATTATTTTCGAAATATTTATGATATCAAATCGCATGTAAGTTATGTTAAGATTGCAATATAGTGTATGTTCCTATCGAAATAAACTAAGCCAGAATGAACATTATTATGCATGATTCTATTTCTTTCGATTCTTCTAGTCACACAGAAGTGTCTCATATATATCCAGTCCCGAAAAAATTTTCAGTCTCAAGAAAAATCAAAGAGCTCTGAAAAGACATACGGATTGTAGTTTTTCGGATCTAAGATCAACTTAAATCGGTCGAAGTGAATTTTAACATATACCATGCTAGCGACATTTTCACACAGTTGTCTTAACCCTTTACCAACCAAAGAGGTCACCAAAAACCCATTCGCAGACTAATTATAAAAAGATAACGAAGCACTAAAAAATTATGGAAAAGAAAATCTTTTTTATCAATCGATAGCTTATGGAACTATCTTCCTTTCAAAAGCAATTCATTTTTTATCATATGCTTCATTACCTTTTTATAACAATTCTACGAATCGGTCATGCGTGGGCCCTTGGTAGGTAAAGGGTTTTAAAAAGTTCATTTCAACGTTCGACGAGTGAAAACAT